TAGAAATGACAGCAGTCTGAAGTCAGTTGCAGTTTTCTCTCTCACCCCCTTTACGCACGACTGTTAATTTTCTTTTTCGATTTAATTTTATCCCCCTCATAGTTGATATCGACGATTAACACCATGACAATTTAAATCCAAATCCAGTGGGTTAACCCTCATATATATAAACGTACTGTTACCCTAGTTTTTAGTCGAAACTCTAGCATATTCTTTATTTTTTCTTGAGATAAAATTGGCCCTAATAATTCAGGATATTTTAACTTAATTTAGAAACCACTTTCAAATATAAACAAATCTCAGTGACATCTAAATTAATTTTTTTTTAATATACATATATATCTCAAAAATATGCATTCTTCTTTTTCAGGTATTTTAAAAGTTAAACCATCAGATCAACGTTTATTCAATCAAGACAATGATATTATGGAAGATGACAATACTTTGCAAGATTATGGCATCACAATGTCAACAGCTAAGGCGCAAGCACCAGCTCAATTAGGTTTGGCTTTAAGGTATGTTGTGTGTTATTGACTTATGACTACGTTATATAAATATAGCCAATCTGTCTAGACCAATATTCGAGTCCAATGGTACAATTTATGTGAATTTTTTGTACTCATTTAATGAGTTCACACGACGACAACATTATACCATAGTAGCGCACGTTTGACAAGTTCCTCCTGCTTATTGATAATACATTTTTTACTCTTGAACATGTTTTAATTCAATTCAATTCATATTTTTTTTTTTTTTTTTTTTGTTTTTGTATGATTATTCCGACGACGATGATGTCTTATCTCAAAAAAAAATATTAATCACTGAGTACGACATTCAATATTGATATTGTTTAGAGCATTTATGTATATGGGATATTTTTAATTCATTTTGCAATTTGTTGTTGTCAGGGTCATTTATTTCGTTCGTATATGTTTTTGAGTACATGTGTGTTTGTTAAATACGGACATGTATCTTGAAATGTGATATTTTTGGATTCAACAAAAGTGAACTTTAATTTGTTATGGGAGACGATTTTTTTTTTAATTTTATTGAGTTCTAAAATTTGAAGCATTACATAAAGGAGTATGAATGAATGCCCTGATTATAATGAGCGCTTTTACAAATTATTTTGACACCTAATGAAACTTACCAAACATAAACCCTATTTTATCGATTATAATACTCATGTCATATTTTATCTTCTTTTATATATAATTATTCTTCTCATTACAGAAAGGAAAATGGCGAATTTGAAACCCTTGATATTACACCCTATTCATCACCACCAGATTTACCAGAAGTAATGAAAAATCAAGAAGCAGCAAATGGCAAAGAACAGGTGGCATAGATATACATATTTAATGAGACAACAACATTAACAAAAGCAACGCAAAAAGATGCAGTAGCAATTTAGTGTAAAATTACAGCAACACTTTCAAAGAAGCCTACAACCTATTCTATTAACAAATTCTCTTATTTTTTTATTTAACACACAAGAAACAACAATTATTTAATATTTAAGTCGAATGAAGAAATAAACAAACAAAACACCAGGCCGTGGCGAAAAAGTAACAAAATTGATGTAAAACCTAACACACCACTCAATTACACCCTGACGAGGCAGAATGAAAGTATATTACATATACTATATACATACACAAGATATATATTTACAATAATTGTCGCCATTGAAATCAGTGTTGTTTTTATGCTAAAATGAAAAAAAACTGCAAACTCCTTGGAGGAGGCTAATACTTTTGATTAGATTTATTCGAATGTGTTAATGAATGTTGGGAGAAGGGCTCAATTTAATTTAAAATCAAGTTTCCTTTATTTCGTTGGTTCTTTTATTATCTTAAATATCTTGGCTATTTGTGCTACCTCTTATTGTTTATATGACTGCATTTTAAGTTATGCCTATTTTACATAGAAATTCTTAAAGAAATAATAAAAAGGCTTGATTATCTGTTTTTCAATTTTTTTTTTCGACAATGCTGTCACCAATGGCAATCAAGCGCCATTTAAATAATTGTTTTCTTAACTTTCCCTTAATAAAAGCCTTGTTAAAATCTCATTAATAAAATAAATTAAAAATAAACAGCGTAATATGATGATGTTGAGAAGAAAAGGAATAAAATAAAATCAATTACAATATATGCATACTTCTATTATGAACGATTGATTCATAATCTCTAAATACTATACTGCAGTCCTCATTTTATCTAAAACGCATTAATCAACCAGTCAATCAATATACCCAACAACAACAACAACAAAAATACAAAATTAAGAAGAAAAAAGAGATTTAAACAAACTACTATTTTCTATTCTATTTAAACAACAAACAACTCTATTTAATTTAATTTAATTACGTTTATGTTTCGATTTAATTCTTAATAAAAAAGATGAAAAGATAAAAACAAACAAAAGAAACTATGCTAGATTTGTTAAAGTTGGACAACTATGCTAAATTATTCTTTCTTCCTTTCATCCATTTCCAATAGGGTTTAGAAACTGGAAATACTTCCCCGTCGGTGGAATTTATAAACGTATTTGGTAGCATCTAATTATCACCACCCAAACAAAAATGCTAGGTTAAGTTTAAAGGAATATAACTCAATATAGAAGTCATGCTACAGCAGACTGGGGTGAAATTCTCGCATTTAATATTGAAAAAAATGCAATCGAAATGAATTTTTGTGTGTGAGTTTTGATTGAGATTGATGAGCGTTAAAATTTTATTAAACTTCTACACTTTTTGTTAATCAAGGTAAAATAAACAAATTTAAATTCATTTCGATAGAAATTTGTTTGATATTGAATGCTAGAACTTGGCGCCTGGTCAGAATAGGTAAATCGTTCAGGCCAATCTCACTTGTCGCAGTCAAAAAGTCTCTAAGGGATTGCTTGTCCATAACCCGGTTTTAGGAAGCTTTTTTTTTGAACATGTGCCGTAAAGTGAGACAGGCAGTTTTCCTTGCAATCGCACACCATTGAACTCCCAAATCATCCAACATGTACCATTTCTTATATGCTAAATTTATGCAAATTGGTGATCAGCCATTTTACCACATTGACTGAGAAGATACGCAAATGCAAATAATTCCGACCAATAACAAACTCAAAAATCTTGGAAGTCGAAATTGTTCACATTTTTAAGTTTTTGGTTGTGGCTAGCTTAATGGCCCAATGTAGTTCACAAATACTTATTTTTTTAATACCAACCACCTTGAAAAAGGAGGGTATATTAACTTTGTCATTCCGTTTGTAATATCCCTAAATATTCGTCGTAGACCCCATAAAGCATATACAGAGTGAGATAAAAAAAACTGCAACAAAGTCAAACCTCATATATATATTTTTTAATTTTATTGAATGAAAGAAAAAAATGTCGGAAATAGCATCAATTTTAGAATAATTTTAGATTTGTTCGAATTGGTCACCTTTGGCACGAATTATGGCCTTCAAACGGCCAATGAAATCGTTACACGCTGCCCGAATGTTGCTTTGCGGTATTTTGGCCCATTCCCGGCGAAGCGCTTGCTTGAGGTGATCGACACATTGGTATTTTTTAGTGCCAACCTTGCTTTCCAACATATTCCAGACACAAGAGTCCTACGGATTGGTATCCGGAGATTTTGGTGGCCATTGTGCGCTGGAAATGAAGCGAGGAACCTCATTTTGGATCCATTCTTAGGTGGTGCGTGCTGAGTGCAATGGTGCTGAGTCCTGTTGGAATGTCCAAGGTCTGCGGCTAAAATGTTTGGCTTTAATACACCCTCCAGAATATTTTCGCTATAATAATCGGCATTTATTCTGATGCCACGGTTGATTAATACGAGCGGAGAGTGTCCATCGGCTGTTATAGCGGCCGACACCATCACCATGGCCGGCGCTTGAGTTCTGGTGCCCAACCGAAGGTGTACATTTTCAGCTGACCTCTTTGGCAAGTAACAACGAATGTTTTCTCATCAGAGAAAACCAAATTCGGCAGTTCACCACTTTCGAGTGAAGCAACTCTTTAGCCCTTTTGAGTCTATTTTTCTTTCTCTGTCGGTGTAGGTTCTTGCACTTTTTGGAATTTCAATGGCTTTACCCCGAGCTCGTTTTTCAATATTTGCCGAATGGAATATTGCGATATGTTCAGCTCACGAGCCATTTTTCGGCCACGCGGGTCGCTTCTTTACTTTCGAACCATTTCTGCTGATGTTGCTATTTTCTTGCTTCCACGTCCTTGACTTTGGGCTAGGCTACCAGTAGCACGGTAATGAGCGATGGTACGAGACAAAAAATTTATTCACATTTAAATGCTGGAGTGCTCTAACGATAGCCACTTGTGGTTTTGCAGCCAAATATAAAGAAAATAACCTTTTTTTCTGGAAAATTCTCACCAAAATGCTTTTCTACGCTTGCAAACAATATAACGAGCTGTCACTGGAATAATTTTAATAGCTGTCGGACGAGTGGCTTAGAAATGACAGCAGTCTAAAGTTGGTTGCAGTTGTTTCATCTCACCCTGTAATTCGAATTTCGAATGGAAAAAAAAAATTCAAATTACAAGTGAAATAATTCGAAGCTCGAATGGAATATGGCGAATTGAAATTGGAATTATCGGATAACAATTGAAATGTATTTAATCACAAATGAATTTCTCGAAATACAAATTTAATTCTTCAATTACAACAAAAATATTTCGAACTACTTCTAAAAAGTGTAGTGCTAGGCAATGGAGAAGCGTTCAGATTTGTATCGTCTTCAATTCTTACTTATGCTTACCGGACGTGCTAATGACAAAAGTGGTCCATTTACGTAAAGCGTTAAAAATTCTTTTCCTACATCTGGATAATAAAATAATTCCGTTGTAGCTAAAATACAAAGGCTTTCCAAAGAAAAACATCTTTTTTTGTTAAAGCTCGTGAATGTTGACTGCATAATAATTTTAATAAAAATCTACAAATACTTCGTGTTGACCTCCAAATCGTTGCTCCGCAGCCCACACATTGATATTGTTCATAGATTTCATTAATATATTTCCTATAAAACTATTTTTAAATAATTACATATATTTAATATTTTCATATAATTTTGACTGGAATACAAAGTTATTACTTTAATCACTTTCCTCCAGTGAATCCGAAACATCTTCACTATTTTGTGGTTGTTCCTCGACAAATGCCGCATTTGACGTCTGTTGCAATTCAAGATTTTCTAAGTATTCCTGCAAACGATCTTGGAAAAAATTAATGTACGTTTGTTTCTGTTGTGACGTGGCCGGGAAGTAATGGCCGCCGTTATGCTCCAAAACTTCGACATTTTTGAAATGATTAGCCAGTTCTTGGCTCATTTCTTTGGGTATAATTTCATCGGATAGACCATAAATGTGCAATGTGGGTATTATGACTGACTCTTCATAGGCACTTTTATGCACCAAACTGCCAGAAAGAAATCCCGAAGACATAATGGCAAATTCCGGTTTAATCGAGGTTACTAAAACATAAAACATTATCATATAAATAAAAAAATTACATAAATCATTGTCATCGCTTACATTTTTTCTTCGCCAAACCGCATATAAGACCCACAAAACAGGCCCCCTGTGAAAAGCCCAACAAGCCTTGAAATGGTCCCTGTGTTTTCCACGTTTCTTCAACCAATTTTAGACTCTCCTGAAAACCAAATGCCGGTCCATTTTTATTGGTACCCTTGAATGAACCATCGTCCTTATTAAACCACCAACTCAATTGATCAGCTTGCGGTTCTGCACCCTCTTCCATGGGTTTTGCCTTGTGCGGTGCATCTATGAAAACAAACTCGGCATATTTGTTTACATGTTTGCGAAATGAGCCGAGTTTACTTTTAAAGCTTTCGCCATTTTGGCGATAGCCATGCAAACAGAGGACTCTCACTTTTTCAGTTATTTCTAAGGGCTTTGTGGAAGACGGTTTTTGCCTGGACGAAGTGGCCTCGTTGGTCATGTTGGAATAGGGTAACTAATTGTTTGGTTATGCATCTACCAAACAGATGTTATGGGACATGTTCAGTGGATATAAACAAAACAACTTGTATGGGCACACATCAAACTGGGCTTATGTGTCTTTTTTACGTCTACCGTTTCAATTATTATAAACATGTTTTCACACGCGAAATCTTTGGCTCAATTCTTATTAAAAAATGTAAAAAAAGAAAATTTCAAATTTAAAAAATTCCAAGGAAAATATTTTTCATAAAAAATTTAAAATAAATCATAATTTGTTTACTCTTTCGAGACCATGGCACATTGAAAAGGTAAGGTAGAGCTACCAGCTGATTACAATTGTTTTGTAAGTGTGCCCTACTTCTGTCAATTTTGTGTATGTATGTATTGTTTTGAAAAATAAGTACAAAATATTTCCAAAACCAATAATTGGATGAAACGTACATTGCGGGTCCCTCTTTAAAGATATCAATCAAATCTTCCAGGGGATTAAAAGATTGAACAGCTTTTATCATATTTTTGAATAAAAATCCAGGCATCTCATTAAACTTCGCACAATTTAGCTCCTTTAAAAAATAAGGAAAAATTCAAAATTAATGGAAACCACTTGTTTCATATAATTTTTAAAAATTCTGACAGAAAGCGGGAATAGCCTCAGGGCTGTATTATTGTACCATGTTTCGAAACAAGCTCAATGACTAAAATTGTCAACGAAAATAAAAACCAGAAAACTATGCGACGAAAACAATTTCGTGGCTTCGCCATCTGCAAAAATATCAACTGAAAAATAATTCCATTTTATTTTATTTTTTAATTGCAATATCATTCCTTTATAAAGGGAACAATTAAAGAATGTACGAGCACGTTTACAGGACCATATTATTAGCAGTGAACGCCAACAAATTTGAAATCAGCCCTAACATCAAAATAGCACGGAAGCTACTTGAAATAAGGTTTCCTATTGTACCATTGCACAGTGGTCGAGGTCGTATGGGAACAGCGGCCAAAAATACTTTCAGTGCAGATATCAATATGATTCTTTGGTTATGGTACCTTGATGGGATAAAAATAAAAATGTGACAAAATGGATATGGTCGATGCATGTTTTGGTATGGTCCCCTTACAACGTACCTCCCGAATAAGGGATATTTGCACAATTTTTGTTACATTTCTACACTAGATTGTTCTATTATTTGACATTTTACGTTCTAAAGAGCTGAAAAAATAGTCTTACTGAAAATTATTTGGAACGATCCGCCTTCAGGTAGAGGTAAAGGTACCTCCAAAAATAGAAGTATTTTTTATACAAATAAATTCAAAATTTGATAGACAATTTTTTTGTAAACAAAATAAACAATTCAATATAAAATTTAATCAAAGTTACTAATGGATATTTATAAATTTCAGTGTTATTCAAGTAAATCAAATGCAGATTTTAATAATATAGATTTTTTTGTTTGGTAACGTTCGCTGTCCCGTTATAAAAGGGTCAGAGCTCAAAAGAAGACCGTTAATAAGATCTGTTTTTGTTGAAACACGAGAATTTTTTCGGGTATGATTTAGTCGAAACTTTTTTATATCTTTGTTTCTAGACTCCACGGCTACCTCCTATAATTCTCCAATCGATACAATGACAAATTTATAATGTCGGGTGCGTGTATTAAAATTTTATGAGCTGCGGGTGGAAGACAGTGCCATGGATATCTATTTGTTAACTCTTTAGCCGTTTTCAGTGCAAAGTCCTTAAATTTTTCGACATTAATATTATGCCCAGAAGACAATGCAGGCAACATTATTGAGCACCCCTCAATTATATCCTTATCAATCCCAAACAACAAAAACATCATAAACTGACAAAATTGGAGCGAAGTCACTTCAGTATATTGGGCATAACATACAAATCTGACAAAATCTGAAAGTTAAATTAGCACTTCTAGAATCTTAGGACCATTACTAATGGCGTGAAAAAAATCACATTGGAGGATTCAGGGGGGAAAACAATTAAAACTTTAACTGAAATCCAATTTTATTTTCAAAATTAATCTTACAGGCAGCTGAGAACATTCACATCGTCTATATTATACACAACTACTAAACACACAAATTACTGAACAAAAAATAAGTCAATACCTTGCTTTTCAATAATTGTGCCAAGAATTGTCATTTTAAAATGTATTTAATTTTGTAAAGCAGATCTATTTTTACTCTTTTTTTCACTGATCCCACTGAAAAAAGCAACTAACTACATTTTCTCTTTTTTGATGCTATTTTTAAAGTGTCCCGTTAGAATGAAGCCAAGATTATTATGTTTTCTAAAAAGCTTAACCTCTTAAGAATCCATGTGTACACATTTGACAATAAATATCTGATTTTCATTTTTTGAATTTTGGCCAATGGCAGCGACCACTGTGCATTGGTGTTTTTCTCTGCACCCATGGTAGAAGAATACAGGTCAAATTTTTTTACATATTTCTTCAAAAATAAGTATATTTATATATGTTTTCCTACCCGACGCCAATCGGAAGTTGTTATAATATGCATTTTTTAAAAATTTTTACAAATTTGAGTAATTTTTCATTAAAAGTTTCGATTTCAAAATTGGTTTGACAGTTCATTGTCCCAGCAGTTGTGTCGAAGCGTCTACCTATATTCTTCTACCATGTCTGCACCACTTACTTGTCCTCAACAGCTCGCAAGATTTTTGCGACGACCTAAAGATCCCTTAGTTTTGTGAGCTGTGACTGAAACATTTTCACATTTATTGTAATGAATTTATCATTTCATTTTTAACACTGGCTTAGTTTCTAAGTACCAGGTTATCCGAAATGACAGCACTTATTAAAAATCACTGTAAAATTGTTTATATATGGTTAGTTCCAGAATTGCAATATTGTAAATGTTGTTACTACGATAACCGATTTTTTCTTTAGGATATCGAAAAAATGACAATTCTGGTAGATTCTTCAGGTTCTGGAAAACCATATATTTTCATACAATTCTCTATTTTATGTTCTTAAGTCAGTGCAAATTTTCTCAGTAAGGATTACATAGTATCATCAGCTGATTAAATGTGCGTATTTTGCAAAACTTCTGAAAATATTTTCTTTACTTTAATAAATGTTTGTAGTAATAAATGTTTATTTCGATTTTTCAATGAATTAAAACTCTTGCCTATGTATTTTTCGCAAAAGATGTTTTCATTGCGGGTTATATGTTTACTGGAAAATACACAATTCCATATGCCAAACATGGTCATTTAAGTTGCACCACTACAGTAAACTGAACATACCCCACATTATATTTATTTACTTTTCAGTGACGTTTGTTGCGGTCAGCTGGGCTCCTCGTTTTCTTATGTAAATACATTGTAAATTCTTCTTCGGCTTTAGTTTTTTTAACGCCAAAAAAATTCATCAATTTATTTGTTTTACATCTGTAGTCTCATCACATCATCGTTCATTTCGTTGCCAAAATATTTGTATATAGTATTGGTTGAATCGGAATTCAAGTAACAACAACAAAATGTTACTAACAGTGTCTTTACTTAACAAGGGCACCTTTTTGGGTTCTCTGATTAACAAATGCAGGCAAGTTGTAGGAGTTAAGAACAATAAGCATGTAGAGATTAATCTGAAACCAAACATATCTAATTCCCCAACGCTATCAACTTTAAATCATTCGTCCTCCCCGTCACCCGTTTCAAATGTGCACGATACTAACAGACCACTTTCGGTGGCAAATTTAAGCTTGAGTAGCCCAGCAACAGCCGCTAGTAAACTTACGGTCGAACAGCAAGTTGGTCTGCCGGCAAGGCCAAAGAAACCACTCACACCATACTTTCGGTTCATGAATGATTTGAGACCAAAAATTTTGGCGGCAAATCCAAGTTTGGCGTTGGTTGATGTTGTGAAGCAAGTTTCCAAAAAGTGGGAAACAGCTGATGCATCGTTGAAGCAACGCCTCCAGGAAGAGTACAAAAAAGAACAACAAGAATATATTGAAAAACGCATGAAATATGATGCCAAAATTACCGATGAACAACGCAGCCAAATTAAGGAGCTCAAACAAGAAAAAATCGAAGCTAAAGAACGTCGCATGATGCGCAAACGTATTAAGGATTTGGGACGCCCAAAGAAGCCAGCATCAGCATTTATACGTTTCATAGCCAAGGAGAGAATCCGCACACCCCAGAAGCCGAACCAAACGTTCCGAGAATGGCATGAAGCTGCTACGAAAAAATGGTCTACATTGTCACAGGGCGAGAAAGATATTTACATGCAGGAATCTCGCAAGGAGTTTGAAACCTATAAGTATGTAACTTTTGATTGTACACGATATACTCATTTTCGCATAAAATACTATTATATTTACAGAAAAGAAATTGCTGTATGGGAAGAGAAAATGATACGTATGGGACACATTGATGTGGTGCGCCAAGGAAATCTAATTGATCCCCCAGAGGTCAAAACCAAGAAAAGTTAAATGAATAATCTAATGCCAGCATGCCATGCCATTTTTTCACATCCAGTTTTCTTCATAGAATCATAATAGTTTCAGTTATTTGCTATTATTTTTGTTGTTGTGCGACACACCAACCAAAAAGGCTTTATTTTAGGAAGTCTGTGTTCATGAATTAATTTTAGTAAGTTTTGAGAAATAAGAATAATACAAAAATAAAACAGATTAAAAATGTTTATATATTTTCTTTAACTATGTGAAAATATTTTCGTTTGTTTAAAAAAGGATAGATTTTTGTATTTAGTCGGGATTATAAATTGATATTTCTTAGTGGATTTTTCAGTGTTCAAACTCCTGTTGTTTGTTTTAAATCTGTCGAGGCTTTAAGTAGTAATTTTTAAGATTTTTGAGCTTGAAAACGTCTTTTTTAGAATTAATGGAATCGAAATAGAGCTTCATAAAGTAAGATTTATTACATTCTTAGAATTGTTGAATTAATTTTTTTTGTGCCAATGTCGATTTTATGGAAATTTCGTTAAATCATGATTTCGCAGAATATTCCAAGATTTGGAATCTCATTTTTTAACTTGAATCCTTGATTTTCATAGGACGCAAAATTGAGGAATTTTATTTATAGCCTTATTTAAATTTTTATTCTTAAGCCATTCACGACCATACACGCGATGCTTATAATTTTTTGCATAATTTTTTCGCCACTCTATAATGTCAACAATTGTGGATAACGCCAGAAACAGTTTCTTACACGCGAAGCTTATAATTTTTTGCATAGTTTCCGCCACTCTATAATGTCAACAATTGTGGATAGCGCCAGGAACAGTTTCTTCTTTTAATTTTTTTTAAAGATAATGTCGCGATTTTAATTCCTATTAAAATCGCGAGTTATTTAAAATTTAAAATGTGATCCCTTTTTGGTGGTTCTTTTCTGGTCAGATCTTATGATCATATATTTTTATAGTTTTCTACTCCGGATTCAGTCTTAAAGTCATGGACTTTTCCTGTTTTCACGTCGATCTTTTTATATTTTATTCAAGTCTTCAAATCGTAAATATTTTCAAGAATATTTAAGACTACATATGGAGTTACTTTTAATGTTGAATATTTTTAATAGTAAAATAAAGCCCCTCTTATTTTATATTTATTTATTAAAATCTTCCTTTAGCAGGACATTAAGCCATATATTTGCTGTAATCCATTTAAAGGGAACAAAAAATAATAAATTATTTTTTTCATTACAAAAAAAAGTTTATTATATTGTCGATAAAATATAGACAGAATCATGTGGAAATCTTAGAACAGACATATTGGACGAAATAAAAAACGAAATCTCTGAGAAAACTTATACAGAAAAGTAAAATCAATCCAATTAAAAATTACAAGTACTTATAACCACTTAACTCCTATTTCGCATCCTAATCGTGAGTATAGCGAATTGGAATACCACTCAAACCCTTTTCGATTTTAGCTGGTTCAGTTTGTCCCAACGCTGGATCAAGTCCACGCCATGTACGATCTTCAAATGTCAAACCATTATTTGTTGTCATTACTTCCATTCTGGCTTGTGTTGCAATTGTTTGTTGCTGTTCCGACAATGCCGATAGATTTGCCGTTTCCACATCATTTCCATTGGTACCATTGAAACGCATACGCCCGGTAAGTAAACTAACATCTTCTGGATTTATATCGTTGGCATTGAATTCAAGGAAACTACGTCCTTCAGGCAGTAGATCTTTAAAATCTGTTACATATGATTCTGGATAGCGCATATGCCAGGCTGGATTTAATGCCATTTCAGCTTCAAACACCGATACAATGGGTTTGTAGAATTCCTTCGATTCGAACATATTGTTAAAAGGACAACCGATAAGTACAAAACAATCAATTTCCAAGAAATTGGCCAATTTAGCTGGATTTATGCGGCCAACTGAGATAATCTGTGTCTTAATGCCCCTTGCTTTGGCCATGGTCTGTAGATGTTTGACAACGTCTAAATAACCATTGGAAGTAAGTGTGGCAACAATTAAACCTAATGTTTGGGTGTCTTTACATTTTTCTATGTAAAAATATCTGCGTCGTATATATGTGGCCGTTAGGGGATTCTTTTCCCTACCCGTTGCCGTGGACACATCATAAATGAACCATTTATCAGCTTTGGTGGTGAGTGATAGGTTAAAGAAACGCTGGTTATCCGAACCAACAAATAAACATATTCTATTTGCGTCCGATTCATCTACTTCTTTGGTGTAGTCTCCATTGGTTTTTAGGGAAACTTGTCCATTCTCTGCAATTGTAGCATATTTATCTCCACAATAAGTGATAATGTCCAAACGCATAGCTTTTAGGGCTTTACACTTTTCCATCAGTTCATCATAACTCGATTTATTAAGTAGCTGATGATAGCCAATATCTAGGTAGATAGTGACCACCTTTGATGTTGAGTGCTCTCTATATGATTCAAGGTAGGTATAGAACTTTTCCAAGTCCAACTCGAATTTCGGATACAAATAAAGTACTGGTAATCGGGAAACTTTGCTTCGGCATGCGTTGCCAAAATGAACCAGGGAATCAGCATCAACATGAGCCGCTGCAATCTGAAATATATAAAGAAATTATATTATTATCGTATTGCACTTAACCGTCAAAACGTAATCTATCGGAAATACAGACTTTCAGAAAGAAGTAAGACGTTGGAAAAGCTATGAAAAAACTTTTGCTATCCAGGAACATTTGTGACCATTTTTTTCGTATATAAAGTTTTTGTAGTGTTATTTTTGAGATTTTGATTACATAAAATTTTTCATCCTTCCAGAAACTCACAATTTAAAGTTATCAGTTTACCTGATCTGAGGTATAAATTTTGGTTCGCATATCCGGTATCAATAATAACATAGGTTTGCCTTAAGTTAGAAATCTTATATTATGGTCAAGGGTCTTGCACCCAATTAAAATTATGAGAAATGTTATGCATCCAGTGCTACATTTGCTCATAGGCGAATGTCTTCATCCGATCATATTTATTGTATTATGCCCATGGTATAGGGGCGAGGGTACTTTAAGAAAGATTCAAATCTCGGAAGAAAAACGACTATCATTGCAATCATGATGTTATGGAAATATCATGATTCGAGACTGCGCCGAATACAGGGTGTTATCCTATTCCACAGGGCGTTATCCTATCCAATGGAACACGAGAGCGACAGAGAATTATTTGGCTACTGCTGTAATCCGTTGTCGGCAATATCGAAGATTGTAGCACCTTGACCCTTACCAATACATACCTCATCTACACAGCAACTGCCGTATGATGTATCGGCCAAAATAAATGTCTTAACTTCATCTGCCGCAGAAAAAGCCTGTCTAATACTTGCGGCAATAGCTTCACTGCATTTCAGATAGTTGTCAGGAAATTGTAGACAAACCTAAAAAACGCTTAATTATTATCGTTATATAGTCATTAAACTTTTTGATCTTACTCTTTTGTAGCCATTGCTTTTTATCCATTCGAAACAAGTTTCACGATGGGAATCACTCCATATTTCCTCCAGCGAAACTTCTCGCTCAACGTCTATCAAATCTGCCTGTCTTTCTAATACGGCAGTATCTGAACTTGAAAATGCCGATGTCATATTTTATTAGATATATATTTATTTGTACGGGGTCTTATGGGGCAAAATGCAGTTTATTTTTGTTTATACAATGCCCGCTGTCTATCTCAAATCACGTAGTCCCAATGAGACGAAATTAGTGCATGACGTAGTGCATTAAACTACGATACGATATTATATGATCAGCTGATTTTCTAATGCTGTAATAACGTATTGAGGTAGTACTTTGACGAAAGCGTACAATTCTTGTGGCAAATTAAAGCTGAGACAAATATCACAGTGGAAAGGAATTACTTTTAAGTGATTAAATTCTGTTACTTTCAAACGAATGTTTTCACTCTTTTTTCATTCGATAGATAACACTTAAAGCTTATCTTCGTCTTACGCTCAAGAATAATCGTTACAGTAGTTCATGAATAATTTAAACCTAATGCCCAATTTTTGGTTTTGTATCATAATGTTCTTTTTTAATTTTCTAATTTTTTATAGTTTCTGTGTCACTCTAATATAAAAAACTCATAAGTCGACTTTTGAATGGCTCGTGCTGGAATCGTAGAAAGCCTCCGATTATAATTCTAGCTGTCCTACACGTACCACCATAAATCTGTTCCGATGCAATCTAATGGATGGATTTCAGACTAACCCAGATTTCACTCAACTTACTGTAGAGTAAATTGTGAGTAACGGTAAAATTGCTCTCCAACGCTGAGAAGGTGCACAGGGTATTTTAACCGCCAATTTATAATGTTAAGACGAAGTGTAGAGTACTACGTAAAATAAGATTGGTTCCAATCCAAAAGGCACCATTCAGCTTGCGATGGGCTATGTTGCAAGTTTGACTGATTATTTTTATACTTTAAATTTAACAATGTAATAGTTTTTTGCTTTATATATATTTGGATAGAAAAAAAAAAAAAAATAATATAAGCAAGTAAAAAACAGTAAGTTAGGCAGAACTTTAAATAGCCTCCACAATTAACTGAAAAACCTTTATATATAAAAGCATCTGGATTCAAACGTATTCCACTTTAAACTGAAAATACCAGTAAGTTTGGTGGGTCCTTTATGTGGGGCCATAGTAAAACGGGAACATATATGGATAATTTTATACTACAAAGATTTTTATCTATTGCGAGTCTTAAATACCAAATTTTAAACAAAAAATATCGAATATCGATGGTGCCGTTATATTGAAATAGTGGACCAATATGGACAATGTTTTGAAACCGGTTGTATAGCCTATTACGAACTACAAATACCAATTTTTAAACAAATCCGTGGGAAAATGCGGCAAATATCATCAAAATATCGAATATCGGTACATCCCGATTATATGCAGGCTATACGAAAACGTGTCCCAATTACCCACCAGAAGTAGAAACCGTTACTAACTCTTAGTATCAAAAATGGAATAATTCCGTGGAAAAATCGTCAAAATACCGAACATTTGGAGGGCTACACCAAAAACGTGGACCGACATATCTCATTTTCATTCCCAACCATCCTAGATGCAATACAAACTATTGTGCAAATTTTTTAAAGGTGGATGTTATAAAAGCTACAAAGTTCATATTTAATACAATTCATATTAATAATTAAAATAATAATTATTA